GAAAAGGAGAAAAGGCTTCATTTGTCCTGTTGCCACAGAACTTGACTTTAGGGTTAATAGCAGATGATCACACTCTAAGAAGGACCTGGCTTCCTCTCCCCTGGCCAAGTGCCTCAGGGCGGAGGGAAGCTACGCCTCCGCAGGGGGCACAGCATGGGGCCCAGTGGCTCTCAGACCCGGCTGCTCAAGAATCACAGGGGAGCTTGGGAGCAGCAGCTTGCAGGCCCCACCCCTAGAGATTCTGTCACATCAGGTGTGGGCAGGCCCGGGAACCTGCCTCTTACAGCTCCCACTCCCCCTCACGGGTCTAGAGACTGACGCAGGGGCCCTGGGCCACACACTAGGGGAACCACTGAACCATGGGGCAGATGGAACAGTAAATGACTGGAGGGCAGTGGGCGCGGGGTGCAGGTCAGGGAGCACCGGGTAGCGGCCCCTGGGGGAGGATGGTCCCAGCAGCCTTCCCGGAGGGTGTGACAGGTGCACTGGCATTTGCCCTGCATCGTGGGGAAGGGCGGGAACGGCAGGGCAGGGACCGGGCTGGGCATGGCTTGTTTGGAGAGCGAGGGACAGGTGGGCATGAAGCAGGCACAGTGTCTGGAGTCGGGGGGCTGCGGAGGGTCTGGTGGGAGGGAAGCCCCAAACTTGCTGAGCAGCTCAACGTTCACCCTGTGGGGAACGGTCTCCAGGGTCCAGACGAGGTGGCCCTGGTCCTGCCCTGGCATCGCCCTTGCTCAGGGCCAAGGCTGCCTGGCATCGCACTGGAGTTTCCGAAGCCCGTGCACACGCATGGCCGCCCGGCTCCTCACTGCGGGCTTTATCCCTGTGCTGGGTTTTGAGGTGAGGCCCGAACTCAGGGGCATGTGGCTTGTCAGAGACCACACAGCTAGCTGGGGTCCCACCTCTCCCCTCCAGGGCCCTGGGGCAGAATCGGCTCCCTCTCTGGGAAGGGGTACTGTCTCTTGCCCTCAGCGACAAGGCCAGGAAGGAAAGATGCGGATGAGCTCAAGGGCAGCCTCCTGAGCCCCCGGCCTTTCCCACCTGCCTCATCCAGCCCTGAGCGGGGATGGGCCCTCGGGACGGGCAGCCCCGGGCTTGGCCAAGTGGCACCCGTCCGAGCTCTGGCCTCACTCCCTCCTCTCTTCCAGGTGAATCTGGGAAATCTGGGGATCGCAGTGGCTACAGCAGCCCCGGCTCCCCGGGCACCCCTGGCAGCCGCTCCCGCACCCCATCCCTGCCAACCCCGCCCACCCGGGAGCCCAAGAAGGTGGCTGTGGTCCGCACGCCACCCAAGTCGCCGTCTTCAGCCAAGAGCCGCCTGCAGACTGCCCCCGTGCCCATGCCCGACCTGAAGAACGTCAGGTCCAAGATCGGCTCCACCGAAAACCTGAAGCACCAGCCAGGAGGCGGGAAGGTAAGGGCGTGCGGAGGCCACTGTGCTTGTGCAGAACCGAACCGAAACCGGAACCGGGGGAGGCGTGCGGCCCCCACACCTGGGGCAGAGGCAGGCGAGTGACTGCCTCCCACCCTCACATAGCACCCCAGGCCCCTCCCAGACCTCTTCAAGGAAAGACAATGGGTTGTGGTTCTTTATTGGGGGTCCCACGCAGCTCTGCATGGGGGAGAGAAAGTGCCGGTTCTTTTCCTCCCCATGTCAGCCCCTGCTGACCAGAGGACGGTTGATCTGTGTCCCGGGGGTCCTCGAAGTGGGGGTGCCCAGAGGTTTGCCTTGTGTAGAACGTGGCACAGCTGGTTGGTAGGTGGGTGTCAGGCGTTTGTCGGACGGTTGCTTAGATTAGGCTTCTCTCTATCTTCAGTTCTGGGGAAGTCTGGGCTCCATTTTGAACTGATGCTTCCAGGTGTAAGTGGGCGCTCATGAAATGTTGGGGTCCCCTAAAGGTGGGGGCCGTGAGCTTCCGAGGGCCTGAGATGGAGGGAGAAGGGGCTGGCCTGGACCCCACCTGCCCTCCTCCTCTTGTCCCTGCCCCCCTGAGTTTCCTGGGCCTGCCACGGGAAAGACCACGCTGGGTGGCTTACACAGCAGACACCTGTCTCCTCCCAGTGCCGAGGGCAGAAGCCCAGGACCCAGGTGTGGAAGGGCCGCTGAGGCCTCCCTCCTCGACTGGAGACGGCTGCCCCCTCCTTGCGTGCTCCCGCTCCTCCCTCCAGGTGTCTCTGGGCCCACCTGCCTCCTGTAAGCACACCAGTCATGCGGAGGAGGGCTCACCCTAAGGAGCTGTTTTAACAGAACCACCCTGTACAGGCCCCGTCTCCAGACACAGCCGTGTTCGGAGGCCCTGGGAGTTAGGACTTGAGCATATGAATTGTGGGTACACAGATCAGCCCTCCCCACCCACCACCAGGGGGGCACGGGGAAGGGAGAAGAGGAGGTGTGTGGGGTACCGAGGACCAAGGCTCTGCTCTGGGGGCCACAGATGTGTGGGGGCTTTGGGCTGGGCCGTTTGGGGGGCAATGAGCCTCCTGGTGGGCTGGAGTCTTTACAGAACCTTCTAGTTGAGACAGCTCGACTCCCCCACAGCAGGCAACCTCCGCACCATGGATTTGATTACTCTTGGCTGGGGTCTGGGTGTCCCTGGAAGAGGGCATCTCGGAGAGCCCATGGGGGTGTCTCCCTGGAACCCTGCTCTTGGCTCCTGCGGAGCCTCTGGGTCTCCCACTGGCCCCTCCCAGCCTTGGGGGCCCAGGCGCCTCTCGGGGGAGCTGTCTTTGGACCACAGGGGGGCCCTGGGCCATGTTTCCTTTCTGCGATGCCGGCCTGTGCGCCTCTCGGTAGAGATGCCCGGCTCCTTCCAGAAGGGGCTGAGGCAGAGGTGAGGGTGCTGGTTGGAGGCTGATCCTTCTGTGATGTTTTGGGGTAGAGGGAGCTCCAGGGACTTGGTTTGCAAGATGATGGGATGTTCCCCACGGGGCACCCTCCCCTCAGTGCTGGAGGGCCCTCGTGCCTGTTTTCATAGCAGTGTGACCGTTTGCCTGTTTTGAAAAATGAGAAGCAAAACCCCACCGGCCAGTTTGCGCCGCGGAGATGATTCTGCAGCTGTGACCAGGGCACCAGAGGGAACGGAGCCCTGAGTGACTCCCAGCCCGCGGGCGTCACACACCAGCCAACACCGTGTCCTCCTGCCACCCCGGGGCATCTGAGGTTGGCTTGGAACCTTTGGCCCAGTTCTTGCAGCTCTGCTGAGTGACAGCACTGAGTGGAGGGGGGACTCTCCCAGGGCTTCCCTGCCCCGCCCCGCACTGCGCAGGGCGAGGAGCCTGGGGACCAGGGCCGTGACCTGAGGCTCAGAGTGGAAGGGGAAGGTGCCCCAGGTCACCGCTCACCAGGCCGGGCGCAGACGTGCCCTCATCTCCCGAAGGAGAGAGGGTGACTTTCCTTAGGACGGACCAGGCGGGAGGTGTGGGAAAGCGCAGGGGCCGCCCCTTAACGTCCATAGAAAACCAAAGACCACCTCAGCCACCACTACAAAGAGCAGCGCGGCAGTCTCCGGGGAAACTAAAAAGGAAACAGAGACGCTTGGGATCCAGGAAAAAGGCTCCTAAAGCGAGCGTGTCCTCCGTCTGGACTGGGCCGGCGGTTCCCAGAGGCGACGCTCAGGCCTTGTGGGGCTGTGGCCTGTGCGGAGCCGCTTCCCTGTGGGTCCGTGTTGACTCTGCCGCACTGGGAACAGCGCCCGGCTGAGGGGCAGCTCCCTCTGTGAATGGAGCCTCCGGGAAGAAGGAAGAGCAGCTGCTTGGCAACCTGCAGACCGAGGACCTCGGCCTTCCTGCTTTCCTCGTTGTGCAGTGATGGTGTACAGCTTGCAGAGAACAAAACGGAATCCTGAACTTTAAAAGGAAAGTGCAGGACAATCCCTCGGCCCCTGCACAGAACTAGATGAAGATGGGAGCCAGGAGCGGTGAGGCCGGCGGTCACTCAGATCAGGGAGCCTGCTCCTGGAGCCTCCGTTTCTCACTCCCCACCCGGCTGCCAAGGAGAATCACCTGGGGGCGGGGGAGGATTCTGTTAAAAATCCTGACGCCAGAGCCTTTCCCAGGTTCGTAAGAACCCCAGGGGGCCTCCCCAGGTGTTCCCGATGTGTAGCCCAGGCTAAGACCCAGTGTCCCCAAATGTCAGCTTAGTCCCGGCCAGGCACCCCCCCCTGTCTCGCACCTCCCTCCCCAAGAGTCTGTCCGAGCCTTACTCTTTGTGAGGGGAGCAGGGGAGAGTTCCATCTTGGTGACAGAGAACCAGCATTTAAAACATATTTTGAAGGCCCTGGCTGGGTACCTCATTGGTTAGAGTGTCATTCTGCTACACCAAGTTTGCAGGTTCCATCCCCAGTCAGGGCCACATACAAGAATCAACCAACTAATGCAGAACCGGAACAACAAATCGATGTTTCTCTCTTGCTCCCTTCCTCTCTCTAAAATCAATTTTTACATTTTTTTAAAATTTAAAGCATTTTTTTAAAAGCTACTCACTGCAGGTGAATAATGTGAACTGGCATCCTTACATCCTGGTGATACAGAGCACGCAGGTAGCATCAGAAGCAGGTTCCTACCTCCCTGTGTTCATTCACCCGACATTTCTGAGGCACCTCTGAGTGTCAGGCCCTATGCTGAGTTGCTGCCCCTGGGGCCCAGGCCAGGGGAGGGAGATACAAAGGGAGCGGAGAGGTTGGCCAGGGATGTGGGGAGGTGGGGGGGGAGCAGCCCACACCATGGGGGGGCCCCCCACACGGAGTCACCTGTGTTGTGGGGTGTCATCAGTCTCACGTGTTACCAACAATTCAGAGAAGCCAGAGCAGACCCTTGATTGGGACCATCACTGGCCTTGGCAAGGACAGCCCCCTCCTCACATCCCCCCCACCCTACACACACACACACAGTGCTGGGCCCAGGGGCTGGATGGGGCCGTGAGGAACCGCACGCTGGAGATTTTCAGAGCAGAAGCAAAATCAAGTTAGAGCTGGGATGGGCCGGGGAGTGGGGGCTTAGGCTGGAGCTTTGTTCGCTCACACGAGAGCCAAGAGCCGAGGAGAGTGAACAGCTGCTGGAGGAGGTCTGCTGTGACCCAGCGGTGTCTGCCCTGGCCAACAGAGGCTGTCCTCTAGCCAGGATGTGGAAGGAAGAGGGAGCTGGAGGGACCCAGGCTCAGCTGTCAGTGGTCGTGGGCGTGAGCTTGGGAGGCCTCAGAGTTGAATGCGAGGGCAGATGGGGCAACACCAACCTCAGCGGCCCCTCTGTGTGGTCGGGTGGGGGGCACAGAAGGAAGCCATCCAGGGTCAGAGAGAAGGTGCACTTGGGGCCAGGCTGCCTGGTGAGAACAGGAGATCCTGTGGCTGCCAAGGGTGAGCGGGATGTGCAGGGTCATAGCCTGGAAAGGGCACGGCGGCCCGAGCGTGGGGGTGGCCTGGTTGGCTCTGAGCAGACAGAGCTAACGTCACTTCTCGAGGGGGCCCTGGCCCTGAGCCGGAATGCAAAGACCCAGCTGGACAGGAACCTCCCGAGCTCAGGCTGGGAACGCCCTGGGCTGCAATGTTCCCAGCGGCCACAAGATGGCGATGGAGCGCTGTAAGCGTCTGTCTCCATTCAGGAAGTATTTCTAGATTCATTATATTTATTGACAAGTCCCAGCTCTTAATTTAAAAAGCACAGGTGAGGAACCTTTCTGTGGAGCAAAGTGAATGTTTGCCTGGGATCGTTTGCCTGTCCTGGACTCAGGTGAACCTGGGCTAAGGTGTCGGGGCCCTGCAGTGAGGGGCGCGCAGAGCCAGGCGGGGACCCTACCCGTACATAGCGCCCTTGTTTGTGAAAAAACCTTGTGTAAATCATTTTAAAGCAGCTGGGGGCAGTCACTGTTTAAAGGAACAGTGCGAATAATTCTACAGGCGACTTCCCTGTTATTTGGCCTCTTTTCTGGCTGGTTGACTTAACAGGACCCAGATAAGCTTTCCCACCAGAACATCCCACTCCAAATCCCCAGCCCTGGACCCCAGTGAGGTGAGGTCGCCCAGCAAGCACCAGGCAGTGCTGGGGGCAGACCTCGCCAGGGACAGCCAGGACCAGGGGCCAGCCGGGAGCTCGTCAGGGGAGGGCTGGGCCACCTGGCGCACCTTGAGCGATCTGAGCGCAAACAGAACAAGTTCAAGGTCTAATAAAGGTTTGGGACTTCCCTCCAGGAAGTAGATTAAAGCAAAGTGGACCCGCCCCCCTCACCCCACCGTCTCCTCCAGGGCCAAACCCTGACCACAGGAATTTCTTGCCTGACTGGGAGTCTCCAGACTAAAATTTGGAGCTTCCAAAACATGGCTCTTTCCTGTGATGGGTATGTTCAGTGTCTGGCCAGACCTGAGGCTCGGTATCACACAAGGCACTCCAGAGAGAAGTCGTTTCAGGATCCCAATTTCAGAATGCCAACCGTTTCCCTTTTTTCCCCTTTCTGTAAACCTAACATTCTGTAAAGGGTGTTGGCTTAATTTGATGACTAACGGTAGTTTGTGTCTGCTTTGTACAGATCCTTTTGTCTATTTCCAAATCCCATAAAAGGGCTACTGAGAGCTTGTTGTCTATTTTGTGGGATTGGAAAAAGGAAAAGTCACCCTGGAGGGAAAATTTTCTGTGTATGTTATACATTTTATTATTACTTCATGAACTCTTGATTTGATCGATGAATTTCTTGTGTGGATTTTGCAGAAAACAGGTTCTTTTCCTTGCAAAACTGGTAAGTTTTCGTTGTCAGATAAGAGGAGTTATGTAACCCATCCTGTTTGCCTTTTTGCCTTGGCTTCCAGGAAGCTCAGAGTTAAATGGAAGGAACCATCTTGTTTGTGTGTGTTTTTTTTAATGTTTTTATTTATTTATTTTTGAGAGAGGAAGGAAAAGAGAGAGGGGGAAACATCAATTTGTTGTTCCTCTCATTTATGCACTCATTGGTTGGTTCTTGTATGTGCCCTGACCAGGGATCAGACAACCTTGGCATATCAGGATGAAGCGCTAACCAACGAGCTACCTGGCCAGGGGGTCATAATCTGTCTCGTAATTGTCAGTGCTAATGGCCTCCCCCTCTTTCACCATTCTCCTTTACATTTTCTTGTTTTTTACTGTGCGTGTGTTGTTTTCTAATTCTCAACTGCTCTTTGTGAAAGTAGGCTAGTCTCCCTCTGGGACTTACCCAGTTGAAAGTTGTAAATAAAAATGATCCCCAAGGAAGACGTTCAAGTGGGACTCCCTCAAATCTGAGGGCGGCACACGCTGATTCAGACACGATGCAGAGGGTGACAGCAGCTCCCTAAGCAGCAGCGGGGGAAAGCCCATCCCTCGCCGGCTCTTTGCTCCTGCCTGGCTAACGCCCTGCCCTGCCCGTGTGTCTCCCGCTCACGGAGAGAACTCGGTGTTCTCCGAGGGAGAGCGCGGTTTTGACACAACAGCCTTGAGGACAGACAGCTCAGGCAAAACCCTGCAGTCACGTCCGTCGCCCATGGCCACAGACACGCCCAGATCCAGATTCCTGTGCGGCTCTGCCTCTGGCCTGAGAAAGTTGCTGAACTTCCCTGGGCCTCCCCCGCCGCCACCCTCCCCCCCCCCCACACACCCCGCGAGCTCCGCGTCAGCAAACGAAGAGGGTGGTGGTGAGAATGGGGACGTGGAATTAGAGATTCATCCAACCGCTACCGCTCACGGAGGGGTGGTTTTTACATTTAAAAAACAAAGAAGAAATTACAAAGAAAGAAGTTGAGCAGTTATTTGTTAGAAAGAAATACACCTACTAGCAAAGAGGGGGCAGAGGAGCAACCTTAGTAAAAATCAAAGAAAGGCAGAGGAAGCCAACAGCGCCGTGCGGTCTGTGTTCGTCAAGGAAATAAACACATTTTTAAATGCCCAGTATTGGCAGCTCGGTGGTGAGCTGCCTGCACCGCGCTCTCGGGGAACACCGGTCCCATCCTTCAGAAAGCCATGCAGGGGGCTGTGCTGAGCGTTTTCAGAGGGTTTATAACTGTGGCCTGGAAATTCTACTCCTGGGACCCCATGCTATGAAAATAACCCCAAACAGGGAAGAGCTCCTTGCACAGAGGTGTTCGTGGTGAGGCTGCTGATATTCTTTAAAATGGAATCAGGATAAACATCTGAGAGCACAGGTGCCTAGGGTACGTTACTTGATAAAACAAGATAGAAAGTGTGTGGACGCACTAATTACCATTTCTACGCACATGACGGTAGTTTACGTATATAGAAGCTTCAAGGGAATGCAATGAAATACAATAGTGGTTGTGTTTGGAAGGCAAGAAAACTTTTGCGTTTTTTTAACCTCTCTTTTCAAAAGCACAATGTTCTGGGTTTTTTCTAATGGGAAAAAAAATATATGTTTTTACTGATTTTAGAGAGAGAGGAAGGGAGAGGATGAGAGTAAAATTGACCAGAGAGAAACATCGATTGGCTGCCTCCTGCACACACACACCCCCATCCCCCACCCCCACCCCAGAGATCTAGCGTGCCCTGACCAGAAATAGAACCGGGGACCTCCCTATGCACGGGACAATGCTCAACCAACTGAGCCACACCAGCCAGGCATAGCTTTTATTTGAAAGGACCATAAAAGAATGAAGAGGTGCGTTAGGTCGGTTTCTCAGGCGGTTAGGTTCATGCTAGAGAAAAAGGCTGGGGTGGTGCCTCCGGAGGTTGCTATCTGTTTACGTAGCCAGGTAAAGGACACCCAAAAATAGTTCTATTAACGTGATGTAATTAATAATGTAATAAAGGAAAGGCCATTTTAACACCAAAAGGTAGGATGGACCAATTTCAACATCGTATCCTCAGGTCTTCGTTTTGCTGAGGACTTGTGGACCCCGGGGGGCCGGCTCTGGCTCATTCTCCCCGGATGAGCCCGGCCAGGGCCCTGACCCTCAGTCACAGCCACCCTCACCCTGGCCTCCGGGCAGCGGCCCCCAGCCATCGTTCCCAAAGACAGAGGAGGTCTCCGTGCTGTTTTCAGGACTTCAGAGAGCGATGCTGGTTCTTTTAAAAAAAAAGTATTTTTTTTTCTTTTGAGAGACAGGGAAAGGGAGAGAGAGATAGAAATAGCAATAAGGAGAGAGAATCATTGATCAGCTGCCCCCTGCACGCCCATCGAGGATTGAGCCTGCAACCCAGGCGTGTGCCCTGACCGTGACGGCCTGGCTCATCGGCCGATGCTGGTTCTTAAGTGGAAACGCCAGCTGCTGGTCCTTTATATCATCGTGGTTAATCGACCCCGTGGCTCCTTCTCCGAGCGCAGTGCTCCTGAGGGGAGACACCTGCTGACAAGGGTGTCGTCATCCCAGCAAAGTGGAGTTTGCAAGCCCCCGTCTCTGTGCCATGGTTGTCTGCGTATTTCATAGTTTTTAGACAAAGTGGTCAAAATCTTTCCCCGCTAAGATGTCAATATCCCCACCCCTGAGCCTCACAGGAGGACAGTGGGACCGCACCATCGGGGCACACCTGCCCAGGGAGGCTGAGAGGAAGCCCCTGGGCCCATCCCAGTTCCCTCGAGGCACCTGGTTGTGGACGAGGGGGAGCCGAGGCTGGAAGGGCAGCACTTACCCTGCCTTCCACCAGCCAAGTCCTCGCACGCCCGGGGGGCGGAGGTCTGCTGTCCTCTCCATGCAGCGCCCACGTCCTCCTGTGACCTCAGTGGTCCCTGACCCGGGCGTGCAGCCAGCACCACGCGCTTTGCAGAAGCAGAGGCCGAGATTCTCCTCCTAGATCGCGGTGGGGTCTGGTTTTTTAAATACTTGCAGGTGATTCCACCGCCTGACAAGCTTGAGAACAGCCACGGCCAGGTCTCGGGGAAGGTTCTGACGGGTCCGAGGGGTGTGCGTGAGGGCCCAGCTGGGACTCTGTGTTTGTTCGTTTAATAGCCTAAGTGGGCCTGGCCGAGGGGCTCGGTGGCTGAGCATCGTCCTGCGTGTGGAAAAGCTGCCAATTCGATTCGAGGTCAGGGCACGTACAGAGGGCAACCGATCGATGTTTCTCTCTCCCTTTCTCTCTCTAAGCACGTCCTCGGTGAGGATTAAAGTAACACAAGTGAGCACATTCCCCCCGCCCCCATGTGAGCACTCAGTTCTGGTTTAGGGCCTCAGAGGCTCGCCCGGAGCCTCCGTGACACACCCTGTGACGGGGGAAGAGTTGCCTCCGGACGGGTGTCCTGTGAACCCCAAGCTGTAGGGTGGGTCCGCCCAGACCAGCCGGTTGGGGAGTGCCTTCCTGGGGTGCGGCCTGGGCCTCCGGTCCCCGCCCTGCCCTCAGGGGTCCTCCGTGCAGAGCAGGCGAGCTGGGGGTGTCACTCATCCTTTTTTCTGGCTGTCAAAGGTGCAGATAATTAATAAGAAGCTGGATCTTAGCAACGTCCAGTCCAAGTGTGGCTCAAAGGATAATATCAAACATGTGCCCGGAGGCGGCAGTGTGAGTACCTCACACGTTCCCTGTGCCCGACTGGGGTCTGGTGTTGAAGGCGTGGCATGAGTGTGTGCCCTGTGAGACATTGCATAGAATAAACCATCCTCAGGCTCCGTGCCCCGTTCTCAGAGGGGTGCCCAGCACCGGGGGGCTCCTGGCCTGCCTGGGCAGCTTAGGGAAGGTGGCTGATCTTTCCCTGGCCCATATCTGGAAGTGGGGTCCTCACAGCATTCACACCCACCGTGACCCCACTCACCGCCCAGCACAGGCTCACGGGAGCCCCGCAGCCCGGCCCCTCGAGGTTGGGCTGAAGGTGGCAGCACCTGGCTCTGTCACCTCCTCCCCATCACCTGGGCAGGCCCACTGAGGGGTTCCACTGTGGGCAGCTGGCCCTGTCCTGACAAGTGGACACAAAGGTCGCACTGTTCTACCTCAGAGCAAGCCGAGTCCGATCTCTGGCCGCATTTGTCTCCTGCACTTGCAGGGAGTGAGCCAGTGCCTCAGCCTCTGGCCCCTGTTCAAACCAGCTCCACCCCTGGCAGAGGCTCAGATGCAAAAGGGCCCAACAGAAGACCCCAGCGGACCGTCTGCGGCCCCGGGAGACGGGGAAACGCCGCTTTGGGCCCGTTTGATTATTTATTGTATTTGCTTTGGGCCCTTGTAAATCTGGCCGCCTCCAAATGCCTCTGGGGACTCCTTGCCTCCCCACTGCATGTGTCCCCGAGACCTGGGGCTGCACCCTCACCTCCCCAATTGGCCAGCTCTGCTGCTGCCCTCCTGCTGTCCTTTGTGGGTGCAAACTCATCCTGAGGCTCCCCCCCTGCCCCTGCCTAACACGGGGAGCAGGAGGTTCCAGACCCCTGCGGCCCACTCCTGGGGAGGGAGGTTTCTGAGAGCAGGCTCCGCTCCTGGCTGGCAGCCGAGGATGGTGGCGATGCCCCACGGGGCTCTCCCTCCAGAAAATGCCCAGCCTGGGCCGCCGCCGTCTGCATCCAGCTGAGGGTTTATTCTTGCAATGTGCCTGAGTGCTGCCCCCGCCTGAGCGCTGCCCGCTCTGCGGCTGCTGCATGGCGCTCATGAACGCTTCCTCACCAGTGCTGCTGTCTCCCCTGTCCCCGCTCGCCTGCCCCGGCCCCCCACCCCGCCCCAGCCCTGGTCACGTTGCTGCTTTAGCTCCGACTCCTGGTTCTCTGGCTTTGCCGCAGGCTGGTCTCCGGCCAGAGGAGGAGGCATGTGCTTTCCGGTTTAACTCGTGTCTGGTCAGCTGGTGGGAGGCCGTGCTGGCGAGGCTGAGGCAGGTCCTGCGGGAGGAGAGGGTACATCCCACTGCTGCTGGCAGTCACAGCACATGGAGGAACTTCCTCGGGCACCTCCTGTCTGTCCCCCACTCCCTGCGGGCCTGCGGGTTAGCCTGCGCCCTAGCAGAGACCCGTGGGCACGCGGCCGGCCAGGCCCTGTGCTTGGTCCGCGCCTGAGGCTTGTTTGCAGGAGGAGCCTTCAAAGAAAGCTCGTCTGGGGGAAGGTGGCTGCACAGTGTCAGCCTCAGGTGATTCGGGGGCCCTGGACCCCCAGCCTGGGCTGGTCTCTGGCCTGCCCTCCGCTCTCCAGTCTGGAGGTGGCTGCCCATCCAGGCTGCAGGGAAGAGCAGGAAGCCGGGGTCACGCCCCCTCCCTCCCTCCGGGACGAGTCCCCAAAGCTCCTTGACCACCTCCTGGGTGCCCCCCCAGAGCCCAGCTCCCTCCCAGGCCTGTTCTCAGAGTCATTCATTACCCACCCCCTCGAGGTGCAGGCTGCCAGCGCTGTGCCTCCCGCCCCACACCACACACGGCCGCACAGCCCAGGCCCACCTGTCGGCCTCAATCAACTCTCCATTGACTGAGGGCACATGCCAGGATGATTCTGAGTAACTGAGAAAATGGGGTTGTTCCAGACGCTTCTGACCAAAGGAGAAACCTCTCCTCTCTTCCTGGTGCCCCTGGTTACACCCGTTCTCAGGCGCGAGGCCATCCCCCTCGGGTACCCCTCTCCGGGCAGGAAGCGGGAGTCCCTGGGTGACACCTCCTGCACCCTCTGGTGACCTCACGCAAGGTCACTGCTGGGAAGGTCCCTCAGTGACCATCTGGGACCTCTCACAGCCATGGCTTTGTGGGACTTCCTCCAGGAGCCCCCTGGGGAGTCCCCCCCAGGGAAGCCGGCTCTTGGGCTGAGATCAGGGGCCGTTCAGGGGCCACCGTCCCCTTGGGGAGGATGCCCGTGTGGCCGGCCACAGGGTGGACCGGGACCAAGGGGAAGCCCTGGGCCTCGGCGGGTGTGTGGGCATCTGCTCTCTGAGACACTAACCCTGGGGGTGTCTGCTGGGCCACCTGCCCCCTGCCAAGGTCACTGTCCAGGACACTCAGGTGCCAACTGGCTCTTCCGGCCGGATCTCCCCACGGCTGCTCACTGACCCTCATTGCTCTTGCTGTGGGTGTGCTGGGGTTTCTGGAAGCTTCTCCTGGGAGAAAGCCCCCTCTCCGCCCCCAAGGCCCTCTCCTCTGAGGCCCAGCAGACATGCTCTCGCTTTCCCAGTGCTGCACACTGGGTCGCACTGGCCTTCTTTCTGTATCCTCGCTGAATGTGATGTCTGTGTCGCGTCAGGAGTGACTGCTCTACGTGTGTTTGCTAAGCAGATGGCATGGGCCCTGCTCAGGGACAGAGACGAAGGACCCTGTTTGCCCCGAGGGTCCTTGTCGTGGGGACTGGAGCGTCTTCAGCCCCCAGTCACTGGTGCAGACCCGGCTCCCTGGGGACAGGGTGGGCACGTTTCCACCCAGGCTGGGCCTCGGAGACAGACCTGGTCCAGCCGCGCCTGGACGCCCACAGCTGCTTCTCATTGTGCTCCGCCCATAAAGTGACCCCATTTATTCTCTGCCCGCCCCTCTCACCTCCAGGTGCAAATAGTCTACAAACCCGTGGACCTGAGCAAGGTGACTTCCAAGTGCGGCTCATTAGGCAACATCCATCACAAGCCAGGTAGCCTTTGCGAACTAGGGGGGAGGGGATCGTGCACCAGGCCTTTAGTAATATATATAGGGTTTGGTTCTACCCACAGTTTCAGGCATCACTAGGGATCTTTTGAACATATCCCCTGTGGATAAGAAAGGACTGCTATATTGTTTCTCCAATTATAGAATGTAAAATAGATTAGTTTAAAAAAAAAAAAAAAGATGGGATGGGCCATGGAGAGTGTTGAGGGTGGAAGGGGCTGTCCTATCTCGTTCCTGAGCAGGGAGGGCAGATGCTGATCCTATACCCTAGCGGCTATGGGGTGAGGCCCCAACATTAGTAACAAAGAAAGAGAATTTCCGGAGGACGAGGCCCAGAAATCAGGATTTTAAGAAGATTCCCAGGTGATTCTAATGTGCAGCCAAGGTTGGGAACCACTGCCCTAGCCCATGGCTCATAGTGCTCCACGCAGGCTGCACGCGGATCTCGAGAGCTGGGGAGCGGCCTGGTCTGGCCCCCAAAGCTCGGCTCTATGGATGTCCCAGCTTGGTCCCCAGCCAACATGGGGGACACTTTACCAACTGCACAAACTGCAACCGGGACCCTGGGCCATTGCTGTGTCCCCTCTGTGACTTTGAACAGAAAATGATACTGTTGGCGCCTTACCGTCCCCCTCCCCACAAAAGAAACCAGTGAGACCCACAGAGCTGCTGCGATGCTGCGAATGTTGGACACCTGTGATGTCCAGTGTCGAGGCCACTGACCACGTGTGGCTGTTGAGCTTATGAAACGTGGCCAGGGCAGTTGAGGAGCTGAATTTTATTAAAATTTAAAAGTACATTTTCACGATGGGATACTGCTCAGCCATAAAAAAGAAGGAAATCTTACCCTTTGCAACAATATGGATGGGCCTGGAGAGCATTACGCTAAGTGAAATAAGCCAGTCAGAGAAAGACAAGGATCATATGATTTCACTCACATGTGAATTCTAATGAACAAAATAACTTAACAAACAAAATAGAAACAGAGGCATAGATACATGGAACAGACTGACAGCTGCTGTCAGAGGAGGGGATTGGGGGTGGGAGCTGGATGAAAAAATGTGAAGGGGTTAAGTAAAATATATATATATAAAGGCTAACATGCAAATTGTCCCTACAGGCAGGAGTTCAACTGACCCAGAGGTAGATGTGCGCTGACCACCGGGAGTGGCATGAAACATGGCGGGCGTTGGCGATGGGGCAGGCGCTGGGGAAAAGGGAGGCACCCCTCCCCCGCCCCCAAAGCCACTGGGGACCCTACCCGTGCATGATTTCATGCACTGGGCCTCTAGTATATAGATAACACACAGACACAGACAAAAGTCTAGTGATAGCCAGAGGGAAAGCGGGTGGAAGTGGGCAAAGTGAGGGGGGACAAATGTGAACAAAGAGACGTTCCTTTGGGAGATGAGCACACGATGAGTGTGCACTTGGAACCTGTAGGGTTTTATGAACCAATGTCACCCAATAAATTCAATTAAAAACCCACACATTGAAGTGGCCATGTGGCTGGTGGTTACCACGTTGAACACAGTGCTAGATGCCACCCCCTGCCGTGCCAGGCTCTCAGGCAGAGGTCCCCCCAGAACCCATCCTGGGGGGGGAGGGGGAGAGGCCGTCAGAAGCCTCGTGCAGAAGGCCTCATTGTCTCTGGGCTCCCTTGGACTTTTTGTGGGAGTCTCTCTCCCAGGGAAAACTACCCTCCACGGGGTCACCCACTGGGAGCAGCTTTCTTGGGCGGCTTTGTCCCACCCAAGCAAGTCATGTCTGGCTGACCCTGGAACAACGTCGGGGGTCGGGTGCCAACCACTGTGCAGTCAAAAACACATGCAGTTAGTTAGTGCCTATTCTGCATGTCCCGTGCATTAGATACTGTGTTATTACAATAAAGTAAGCTAGAGAAAAGATAACGTTACAAAGAAAATCATAAGCAACAGACACAATATTTAGTGAAAGAAATCTTCGTATAAGTGGACCCATGCAGTTCAAACCTGTGTTGTTCAAGGGTAGCTGTCGTTTCTCCCGCCCTCAGCCCATGTCTCCACTGTGGGTGGCATCGGGTGTCTGAGGAGGCAGGAGGGCCAGGGCCCTTCTTTATTGGGGTGCGTTTTGCCTGCAGTTTAATGCCAAGGTCGTGCAGGGCTGCAGCGTCCAGGATTGTTGACACAGGCGCCTTCCCTGTCTGGAAGCCATCCAGTTAGAACTGGGGGCAGCTTCTCCCAGACCCAGCTGCCACTCACCTTTGCATTATCTCAGGAGGAAGAGTTTTCTGAGTCAATATTGATGCATGCCTTGGTGAGAGGGATGAAGCAAACTGCTGTCCAGCCCTTTAGAAGGACTGCCTTGTGCCCCAGCCGCTCTCTAAGGGAAGGCGCGTCCTCGCTGCTCCCAGCAGTCGGTGTTCCTGGGAATGACTCTGGAAACCGCGCTAATTGGCGGCGCTGTGCTGTGTTCCAGGCGGCGGCCAGGTGGAAGTCAAATCCGAGAAGCTGGACTTCAAGGACAGGGTCCAGTCGAAGATCGGGTCTCTGGATAATATCACCCACGTCCCTGGGGGAGGGAATAAAAAGGTAAAGGGGGCAGGGCCAGGGGAGGCTGTTGGCCCGGGCTTCCAGGGGAGGGAGCTGGAGGCCCGCGGGAACTGGCGCGGGGTGGTCCTCAGCAGCCGCCAGGACAGCGGGGTCACCTTAGCTGCCCGCCGCAGCCACCCGGGGGCGCGATGGGACTGGAGCCGGGGCCCCGCCCTGGAGATGCCGACTGGTCTTCAGGTGCGGTCTTTACACCTGGAGGTTTTAAAACTGATGGTCTGTGGTGAGAGCGAAAGGTTGGCGACCTCTCCTTTAGTGCAAATGTGAGAGCCGCTGTCCTAGGCCCCGTGGCTGCCAAGCAGCCACAAAAGGCAGCAGCCATCCCCAAGCCAGCCCAGGCACCAAAGACAAGTCCTGGGGACAGAACCTCACTTTCTAGATGGGTCACCAGGCAGTTAGAGCAAAACAGTGACGGTGAAACCCCGAGGTCAGCCCAGCCGCTGCCAGGGGGTGCCCCCGGGGAGGCTGCCGGACAAGGACTTCGCAGTCCTGGGAGTTTCTGGTCACTGGGTCTTGCCTGAGTTCCCTTCAGTTTGGGGGATTTGGGAACATTACTAGGACCCTGTCATTTCTTCTCAAGAACAAAGCTTTTAAAAAAACATGAATGTTCTTATCAAAACTTATGTGAAAAAGGCCCTTCCACCACAGAAATATGGAAGAGTCCTTTGGTCAAAGCGCTGGCCCCAAATGAACAAAATGAGCACATATATAGCTTCGGTGGGAGCCTAGTCTCTCTCTACAGCCACACGCAAGCCCATGCGGTAGGGGCCCTGCACCTGGGCCCATGGGAGAAACTGTGTTTCTATGGTTTCATCAGACACTCGGCGAGGTCTTAGGACCCCCAAGAGGTTGAGAATCACTGCGTCCATCACTTCAGGGCTCATCAGGGATCACTGTACCACTTGCCTCTCTGGCTAACGCTTCCTGAGTTTCCCAGGTACCACTGGCGCTCTGCCCTCCGGGGCTGCAGACTACACCATCGTTTCTCTACTTTTATAAATGGGCTCTCTCACACCCATCAGTGCTGCCCACAGTTGCCGCCACTTCCAGACTCATCAGTCCCTGGCAAAGGGGAGGGGTGTATGTGGCCCCTGACAGAGCAGCTGTGGCTCTGGGGACGTCCCTTAATCTTCTCCGGCGAACTTCAGCACTTGCATTGCAACTGGGCAGCGTGTCGGGATAGAACGCGCACTGCACACGCACGCCTTAGGACCTGCTAGCAACTCCACTTGTAGGACACGCTTACAGGGTGTGAAATGCTGTGTGTTCAAGGTCATCTAAGGTTATTCACACACAGCATTCTTTGTCACAGCAAAAGCCTGGAACAGCTGAAACAGCCACCCCCAGGGGGGCAGATGCCCGTGGGTACATCCGCCCTGGTGGAATGCCAGGCAGCCACCAGCAAACCCCTGGGAACTAGCGCTGATAGCAGGAGGTTTAAGTCTACAAATCAAAGTACAGAGCCAAGTACAGTGCACATTGTTACCTATGTATTAAAATAGGCACATACATTTTTCACGTGTTCACACATACGCCCGTGCGGGATATGTCTGTAAGGGTCCTCAAGACACTTCGGGCGGCCGCTGCCTCTGGAGAGGGGCACAGGGTCGCCGGGAGGCAGGAGGGAAGAACTGCACCAGTGTTTGCTATTGGAGATGATGAACCCACAGTTGCCACCACTTCGTCGGCGCCCTCGCACCCGGGCCAGATTGGCAGGGCCGGTGCCCCTTTCTCCGGCTCTTCCTCTCAGCCTCCCTCCCCTCCTGTCTCGCAGATCGAAACCCACAAGCTGACCTTCCGTGAGAACGCCAAAGCCAAGACGGACCACGGGGCGGAGATCGTGTACAAGTCGCCCGTGGTGTCCGGGGACACGTCTCCGCGGCACCTCAGCAACGTGTCCTCCACGGGCAGCATCGACATGGTAGACTCGCCCCAGCTCGCCACGCTAGCTGACGAAGTGTCTGCCTCCCTGGCCAAGCAGGGCTTGTGATCAGGCCCCCGGGGCGGCCAATCATCGTGGAGAGAAGAGAGTGAGAGAGTGTGGAAAAAAAGAATAATGACCTGGCCCCTCGCCCTCTGCCCCCAGCTGCTCCTCACAGACCGGGTAATCGGTGAATCACTTAACCTGCTTTTGTCACTCGGCTCTGGCTCGGGACTTCAAAATCAGTGATGGGAATAAGAGCCAATTCCATCTTTCCAAATTGATGGGTGGGCTAAGAATAATAAATGTTTTTAAAAACATGTTAACGATGGCCACACCCAACATTTCCTTGGGCAATTCCGTTTGATTCTTTTCCCCCTCTGAGTAGAAGAGGAAGAAAGTCAGGCTCTGAAAGGTGCTGCTGGGGTTTCCAGGGGCCTGGGGCGCCTTCTGGCCCCCTCCTGGGGATGTCACAGAGGCTGTGGCAGCAACAAAGGATTTGCAACTTGGTATGTTGGTGTGAGCTGGACAGGTAGGGGTGGGGGGGAGACACAGGAGTGGCTGAGGCAGGGGTGGGCAGGGGAGCGGGAGAGAGGGAGCGGGGAGGTAAGAGTATGAAGGAGAGGAGACCTGCTCCCTATGGAAGGGCAGCAGGGAGCACAAGCAGCCTCCACTGGGGCCTCCTGCGGCTGTGGCCAGGGTCTGGCAGGTGGGTGTGCCTCCCTCAAGGGCAGGGCAGGGCAGGCAGCCTGTGGAAAAGGGCTCCAGCCCCTTCCACCTGCCTGGCAGGAGAAGGCTGGCTGGCGGGAGGGTGGCTGGCAGCGGGTGGGTGACTTCCTTAGAGAAGGCTGGCCTCCGGCCTTCTGTCCCCGCTGCAGGGGCGGGGCGGGGTGGTCCTGACATGAAGGGCTTCCCTCCACCCCAGGGACACTGCTCAATTGCATTCTGAAGGTTGGAAGTGCAGCCACGATTTTGGCCACCTCACTGATCTGGGACTTTAGGGCTAACCAGTTCTCTTGTAAGGACCTGTGCCTCTTGTGGGACACCCGCCTGTTCCCAAGCCTGGGCCGCTGGCATCTCTAGAGTGTGCGGGGGCGGGGGACAGGGGGCAGAAGGGGGTCCTGAGCCTCTCGTTCCTCCCACCCCACTGCAGCCAGCTGCCTGCCCCCACCACACCCTGTGTCTGCTGGGTGGAGCCCAGTCACTGCCTGTACCCCTCATTATGTCACACTGTCCCGAGTCCCCAGCCTCACCACCCTTCTCAGTAGTTCACATTGTCTGCATGTGGGAGGCACCTAGACTTTACTAAGGGGTAAATCAAGGGAAGGCAAAGTCGGGGCACAAGGTGGGACCTCGGTTTCTAGGTCTGTTACACTCATCCAACTGGCCTGTCTCTCATGATGAATCTGATGACCTTACATCCCATCCAGACGTGGGGCTTGGCAAGGCCAGGATGGCGCTCAGCAGTGACCCTGGAAGTGGACTTGGAGAGCCTTTCCCTCCCAGAAGGCCTGCCCCTTCCTGTGTTGAGCTGCAGCAGGTTGGATGTCCTGGTTGTCAGAGATGGCACCAGGATAGGCAGGCCCCCCGGGAGGGACCACGTTCCCTGTCCCTCACCTCCACCCCAGCCTCTGACTGCCAGCCTCGCAGAGCGCCCCACGCTGCTCAGCCTCAAGTGCATATCGTCAGCCCTCCATACCCCACAAGGGGACACGCCCACTTGGAAATGGTTCTCCCCGTCCCAGCTGGAAGCAATGCTGTCTGTCCACTGGAGCAGCTGAACATATACATAGATGTCGCCTTTCCCTCCCCGTCTGCACCTGTCGCGTTGTCGTCAGATTTGTCTGTTTATGCTTGGATTCACCTGAGTGACTATGATAGTGAAAAGAAAAGAAAAAAAAAAAGGACGCATGTATCTTGAAATGCTTGTAAAGAGGTTTCTAACCCACCCGGTGGGGGTCCTGGATCGCTCTCCCCTGGGCTGGGACCCCAGGCCAGTGTGGCTCTCCCCTGCCTGGCCTCCCGAGAGGTTTCCCTCAGCATCTGGGACCAGCAGAGCGCAGATTCTGACAGCGGAGGACCCTCGGCTGGAAGAAGGCCTGACGCACAGGACGAGGACCAAGGAAGCTAGTGCCCCTCCCCACCCCGGGCTTCCCTTTGCCGGGCAGAGCTGTGTCTTGGGCTGGCTTGGCTTGCAGCGTGAAAATGCCCTCTCTGGCCACAGCCCGGAGAAGCCCCACAGCAGCCCTGCATCACCAGGAAGATGAAGCCAGCGCCAGCTGGGGAAAGGTCCCAGGGCCTTGCCACCACAGCTGCCCGGCAGAGGAAGGATGACGCGCCAGGAGACACCATTCCCGAAGCCTGGCCAGAGCCCCGCGGACCTGGCAGGAGTCCGTCTGCTGCCTCGGGGAAAGGGAAGCAGCCGCTGTGGAAATGACTGCTTAAAGAAATTCGGCCTCGGGCCCGGTTCTGCCACTTCCGGTTTAGATAGTTGAAGGCAGCTGGGCTGGAGGCTTCATTTGCAGTCAGAGCTTTCGGCTGTCCCGTGAGTCCCAGCTGCTCTTGGGGTTCTGAGAAAGAAAAAGGAAATGTGGTTGAAAGGACTGGTAGCTGTTCGACGTGGCCCCTCATCACCACTAGTGCGCTGCATCTCCTCTTCCTGCAGCTCCTGTGCCCTGTTCTCTGACACCTGACTCCGAGGGCCCTGTGATCTCCCTGGGAGGGTGGGCTGCTTGGGATCAGCCTCAAAATTATGGTTTAGGGTGATCAGGTCAGTGTTGGGGAGGAGAGACAAAGGGGTGCTGGCTTGTGACCTTAAATGAGGACAATCCCGCAGGGCTGAGTTCTCCCCATCCCCTCTCTCCAGTCAGTGTCCCTTGGGTGGGCTGGGTATGCTCTATGCCTGGTTCCTTCAAGCTCTCCATTCTATCAATAGTTCCATTTAAATTGACTTCAATGGTGAGACTGTATCCTGTTTGCGATTGCTTGTTGTTCTATAGGGTTGGGGGGAGGAACCTGTAAGATAGTTACCATGGGCAAGGGGAAGTCTTGGAGTGCAGCAGTTTAACCTCCTTGTAACCCTTTTCTTCGCCATTTCAACCGCATTTGCTAGAGGTCCTGGGGGTGCCGCCTTTTCACCGACTGGATTCCCAAGTGCAGTAGCTGCCAGCTGCTTCCCATGTCCTTCCCAGCCAGGTGCAGGCGGTGAGGCTTGTGGAGGAATCTGGAGATGTGGTTGCTCTGGTCTCTTACTGGGCCCCAAGCCCACAATCGTGCCTCCCAGACCCTGGCAAACTTTGCTGTAAGCCGTGGGCACCTCTGTGTCACTTTTCCCACTGACTCTGGACATGCAGCCTGTATCTAGCAGCTGCCAAGATCTTTTCCTTCACCCTCTTTTATCTTTGTCCCCCAAGAGGCAGGGATGAGGGTAAAGATGGAGGTCACTGTGTCCCATCTATAGGTCCATGGCTTCATGAGACTTCTAGTTGCGCTTCAGTTTTGAAAAGGGTTATCGTGGGCACTGACCCAGGCTCACCTCCTAATGGACTGAGCCCATGAATTTGCAGTGTCTGGCAGGGCAATTTCTGACACTTGCAAGTCCCAAGATTTCTTCAGTAATTTTAAGGGTGGGGGGTGGGATAGGGGGAAACAATCTTAGCTTAGCTTCCTGTCTGTGAATGTCCACATGGTGTAGTGTGTGTTTTAACAAATGATATACATGGACTGTTGCTGTAAAAGTGAATTTGGAAATAAAGTTATTACTGATTAAATGAGGTCTATGTGCATAAATTCAAAAGACAAAGAAATGCTATGGGATGTATAATTTTCAAGTCTTTTTTCAGCTCTGGAGAACTTAGC